GGACGCGTCAAGGGGAAAACCGAGGAAGACGCAGGGAAGGGTGCGGGCAGTGAGCTTGTCCGTGCCGGAGGCACGGACGTGAGCAAGGCAGCCCCAGACGTGGATCGCAGACGCGTCACCAGGAGACCCAGTCCAAAGACGGGTCGGCGAAACCTGCGGCTGCTGAGGGTGCGGCCACAGGTTAAGCTGGTGAGAAGCGTAGCGCACAGCGAACGGCCACAGAAAATGGGGTGCACCGGCATGGATCATGGAGGTGCGAGCGACCTCCATGACCAAACCGATGCGTGGCTCAGCGACCCCATTCTGCTGTGGGGAGTCCGGTAGGGTGAACGTCTGGGTAACGCCCGTCGTCCTCTGCATGACTACCTTGTCAAGCAGGGTGTTACTTCTACCCACCAACTTTGAGGGGGGGAAGTGTGAGAGTACGACCCCGTTACACCACTGGTCCTTTTCTTATTTCCTTCCTATTTCATTCCTCTTTTCATCTCATCTCATTTGGTTTCCTATTCTCCATTTCCATTCACCTTTGGTTTATCCTGCTATTATAATTATCTCACCGACTAGGCTTGGGATGTACTGGTACGCTCTATCTAGCGTAATCATGCAGTAATCCCTTAAAGCCAATAGCCTCGCGTGGCTATACGCAGAGTGATTCTATTTTCTAGAAGGGTCTATTCCCTTAGGATAAGATAAACCTGGTTACCTGATGTACTCTGGAAGTATAAAAGCGCCTTGTACTAATCGATAGTGCAATCTTTCCTCGACACATTCGATCCTGTGACAGGCTGCGACAGCAGGGGCGACAGCGGCGGCAGAGGCGGTGGAGGAGGGGACGCGTGGAGAGGGGCAGCCAGCGAGGACTGCCCCGTAGGACCACCAGAGTCAGAAGACTCCTCAACCGGGACCACTGACGGAAGAGGGGTGACGTGGGACACACCAAAGGGGGCAGGATGGGGAGGAGGAGGGGGAGAGGCAGGGACTACCGGGGAAGGAGTGACCAGGAACAGGGGGGGGGTAAATGGGGGACCGCGGTGGGGGAAGCGACGGTAGTAGGAGACGGACTCGTCAAAGGTGACGTCGCGAGAGTGAAAGAAGCGGTGAGACGGCGGGTGGTAGAAGTGCCAGTCAGACGCGTCAAGGGGAGAACCGAGGAAGTCGTAGGGAAGGGTGCGTGCAGTGAGCTTGTCCATGCCGGAGGCACGGACGTGAGCAAGGCAGCCCCAGACGTGGAACGCAGACGCGTCACCAGGAGACCCAGTCCAAAGACGGGTCGGCGAAACCTGCGGCTGCTGGGGGTGCGGCCACAGGTTAAGCTGGTGACAAGCGTAGCGCACAGCGAACGGGCACAGAAAATGGGGTGCACCGGCATGGATCATGGAGGTGCGAGCCACCTCCATGACCAAACCGATGCGTCGCTCAGCGACCCCATTCTGCTGTCGGGAGTCCAGTAGGGTGAACGTCTGGGTGATGCCCTCCGCACGACAAAAGCGACCAAGGACACCTGAGGAAAACTCGCCACCACGGTCTGAGTGAAGACGCAAGACAGGGAGACCGCGGTGGACACGCGCAGAGACAAGCCAGGGGATGAGAGCGCCAGGCACGTCGGCCTTGCGCTCCAGGGGGAAGACTGTGGTGTAACGAGTGAAGTCGTCAACAAGCACAAGGAAGTAGCGCTCTCGACGCGGCCCAGGGACGGGGGCGGGGCCCCAGACGTCCAGGTGCAGGGTCTGCAGCGGCGCGGCGGTAGGGGGAAACGAGGAGGAGTGAGGGGCACGGCGAAGCCGACCCTCGACATAAGGCGTGCAAGGTGGGGCTGGAGAGGAGGGAAACGCGGGGAGCGAACCTGGGAGACCAAGGACGAGACCGTGCTGGGACATGTGACGCAGACGCGGGAGCGCAAGGTGACCTAGGCGGTGGTGCCACAGGAGGGTCGGGTGAGTGAGGAAGCGACAGGAGCAGGCAGCAGCAACCTGGGTAGACGCAGCAACCTGAGGGGGCGCTCCAGCCGGGGGGGTCACGGTGTCCAGAGTGAACAGGCCGGACACCGGGTCCCGGGGGAACGTGGACAGGGGGGCACCAGTGGCGGCCTCGGTACAGACAGCATACCGCTCGTGGCCAGGGAACGTAGTGGTGACGCCAAGGTCCTGGAGGCAGCCGACACCAACTAGGTTCCTGGAGAACGAGGGGATATGCGGACCTGTAAGAGAACCCGAAGGAACCGCCGGACAGGGAAGGGTGGTGGAACTGCGGGCGACTACCGGACCGCCGGAGGGGTCAGCAAGAGAAACGGCAGCACGAACAGGAAGCGGCGTCAGGGTGGTGGAGTCGCGGAAGAAACACCGAGAGGCGCCAGAGTCCAAGGTGAAGGAAAGCGAAGCCGAGGGGTCTGGCGACGGAACGACGGCGGAAGCACCAAGACTACACAAAGCAGGGGATCCTACGCCTGACGCAGCAGGGGAGGCTAAGCTAGGCACACCTACACTAGGCAACAGTGAGTAATAAGCGGGAAGCACACTAGAGTCATCAGCATACATCACATGCAGAGCGGAAACAATGGTATCCATGTCCATATCAAAAATCTGAATCTGACGACTAAGCAAACAGTGCCAGTCCGGGAGGTCTGGCGACCGGCCGAAGCGCTGACGAAAGAGGTCGTCCAGGCGACGAAAACAGCGGGGAGTGGAGTGACCGATCTTACCGCAAACGAAGCCGCGGCGAGGACCGGTCTGGATCTGGTACTGACAACGCCCGCCGCCAGAGCCACCACGCGGCACACCACCACGCGCCCGGCCACCGCCAGCGCCGGGCCACCCTGGCGGGAGGACACTCGTCTGCCGCGTCTGCGACGGCTGCTGCGGCTGCTGCGGCTGCTGCGAAGGCTGCGACTGCGGCGGCTGCTGCGGCTGCTGCAACTGCAGGGGCGGCGACTCAGCTGGACTGGGCAGGGTCCCCTCGTCCGCTCCAGCACCAGGCGACCCGACCCCACCACTACCCCCGCCCGCACCCCCGCCGCCTCCGCCGCCGCGCCCAGCCTTGGGGCGGCGGCCCTTCCCCGAACGGACCTGCGCTGCAGGAGCAGTCTCACCCACTGCGGCAGAGCCGTCGGAGAAGGTGCACTGAGCGGGGGCACAACCCTGAAAGATAGGGACCGGCACGACACCGCTCGCCTGGGCGATGGAGCGGTGACGGGTCTCTATCACAGTCAGGGTGTCTACAAAGTCAGTGAGGGTGAGGTCTGCGGGGTGAACGCTAAGAAAGCGGTCGCGGGCGACAGCAAGGCGGTCAGGGAGGCGGGTGGCAAGCAGGTAGAGGGTAGAGGTAATGGGCGGCTGGTGGGCTCTAAGCTGGGCGTCAGTGCAGGCAGCGCGCCAGGTCTCATCTATCGAGCGCAGGTGGGCAGCGAGGTCAGAGACAGTGGGGAAAGATGCAAGGTCAGGAAAGAGCATCGGAAGGATCAGGCGACCCACCGAGGCAGCCGGAGGGGTGGAATAGCGCTTGATCACAGCATCTAAGTATGCCTGAGCAGTAGTGAGAGACCTAAAGCGAGGACGCTCGGATGGGGGAAGGGCGTTGCTAATAGCAAGCTGGGCAACAGCATCGCGAGAAAGCCAGACAGAGCGCGCACGGGCAGTGGCAGCAGTAGACTCACGCTCAGTGGGTGTGGGGTCAGCGGGCAGAATAGCAGGGGGGTCTGGGCAGGGGAGCGTACCGTCAAGGTGTGCGGAAAGCGGTTCACCATCCTGCCGCTGGCCAGTGAGTTGGCGGCGGAGGTCGGCAAGCCACGCCTCGAACTCTAGGGGCTGACCTTCAGCGTCGAAGCGAAGCTCCGCCGCCATCAGGAACAGTCCAGTGCGGTGCAGGGCAGTGCAGCTAGGTGGGGTGCGGTGCAGTGCAGTACAGTGCGGTGCAGTGCGGTGCAGTGCGGTGCAGTACGGTACAGTGCGGTGCAGTGCGGTACAGTGCGGTGCAGTGCGGTGCCAGGCAGTACAGTGTGGTGCGGGGCAGCACGGAGCAGGGCGGGGTGGGGGGGAACCGTACCAGTGAGGAGGACGGGGCCGGGGCTGGCCCGACGGGGCCGGGCGTGCGCGACGGGGCCGGGCTGGTGCGACAGGGCCGGGACGGGGCGACGGGGCCGAGCGGGCGCGACGGGGCCGGGCTGGGGCGACGGGGCCCGGGCGAGTGCGGCAGGGCCGGGCCGGTGCGACGGGGCCGGGCGAGCGGGACGGCGGCCGGGCGGGTGCGACGGGGCCGGGCGGCTGCGACGGGGCCGGGCAGGGTGCGACGGGGCCGGGCGGGTGCGACGGGGCCGGGCGGCTGCGACGGGGCCAGGCAGGGGCGACGGGGCCAGGCGGCTGCGACGGGGCCGGGCGGGCGCGACGGGGCCAGGCGGCTGCGACGGGGCTGGGCGGGCGCGACGGGGCCGGGCGGGTGCGACGGCGCCGGGCGGGCGCGACGGGGCCGGGCGGCTGCGATGGCGCCGGGCGGGCGCGACGGGGCCGGGCGGCTGCGACGGGGTCGGGCAGGGTGCGACGGGACCGGGGGGGGGGGGGGGGGTACGACGCGGCCCAGGAGGGGCGCTACGGGGCCTAGGAGGGGCACGACGGGGGCCCAGGAGAGGCGCTACAGGGGCCCAGGAGGGGCGCAACGGGGCCCAGGAGGGGCGCGACGGGGCGCAGTAGGGGCGCTACGGAGCCCAGGAGGGGCGCGACGGGGCCTGGGAGGGGCGCGACGGGGCCCAGGAGGGGCGCGATAGAGCCCAGGAGGGGCGCTACGGGGCCTGGGAGGAGTGCGACGGGGCCCAGGAGGGGCGCTAGGGGGCCTGGGAGGGGCGCGACGGGGCCTGGGAGGGGCGCGACGGGGCCTGGGGGGGGCGCTACAGGGCCCAGGAGGGGCGCTAGGGGGGATGAGCGGAAGCGGTAGGTGGGGGGGATCCTACCTACGCGTGATACCATATCAGAATTAGAATTGAATAATGGTAAAGTGAGAGTACACACAAATATACCTAAGTGTTGTACCCTCTAAGAGGTAACCCTATACAGTCTATACAAACATGACAAATACACATGTTTGACAAATCTCATACACTTACATCCCACCTTTCCTCCTCGTGATGGCAACTAGGTATACATTGCATTCATCGCCCCTCCCTTCTCTCATCTCCATCCCTCTTGTGATAACTGTACAATGCTATGATACATGACAGCAGAAGCACAGTTAGTGCCACACCAAACATCATAAATGCCACCCACTCCATTCGCACCTTGCTCTTGGCTCCAGGACAACCCTGGGGATTGGTGGACAGGTCTTGGAACATGTCAATGAGGAATTGACACGTGGCAAGGTCGTACATGTCCGGTACCAGGTCAGCCACACTTACGGTGACGGCAACAGCACTGGCAAGTAAGTGGTAGGAGGAGTTGGGGATGGGTGTGCCTCGCCGCACACAGACAACAGGGTTCTCTGACTCACAGTGGTATGGGGCATAGTCCTGTGGGGCCATGGGAAATGGGGAATTTTTTAGAAGTTAATATTGGAAAACAACCCCCAAACACTTCATACACCAAACTGGTGTATAAAGCTCAGGTGATTAGCTCAACCCAATGTTACTAAACAGATCACATTGCTTGTGAATTGTGCTTCTTCCACCAGGTTCGCAGTTCACCTTTGTTGCACTATTTGCACCTTGTTTGCCGCACTATGCTCGTGCAACAGCGCCTGTCTCACCTTTTCAAAGGAGCGCACGGAGCCGAATCCCGCAGGGCACGGAGCGGCTGTGAGGTTGCTGCTTTCGTTGAAGAGCGGGCACAGCAGGGGAATGAGACGCTCCCCGCTGCCACTACTGCTGCTACTGCCCATAGCACTGCTTTCCTCGTCGCCTGTCTGGCCTGCCGCTACAGCAGCTTGATCGCTGCCGCCCGCTACACCTGCCTGTGCAGCGCCGCTGCTGCTGCCAGCGCCAGCTCTGCTCTCAGCCATGCCCATGCTCGACCCACTCCCTCTCAGGCCGCCCGCCCTCATCCCCTCTACTCCGCTCTCCCCGCCGCTTGCCCCCGCAGCACCGCCCCCACCAGCGCCGCTGCGCGTGCCGTTCCCCGCCATGAGGCCCGCCGCCCGCATGAGGCGGCGCAGCCCGCCGAGCGCGGCGTTGCCGCTCTCGATCTGCCCGTTCGCGAACCCCACCAGCCGGTTCGCGCCGCGCGCCGCGTTGACGAGCGCGATGCGCGCCGCACGCGGGTTGAGGCACGGCAGCAGCGGCGCGAGGGTGGAGGCGGCGGGCGTGGCGGCGTAGAGCGCCATCTCGCGGCACGAGTCGTCCAGCACGCTGCGCGCACAGGGGGGACACGCACGGCACGGAGGGAGCCATGAGACGCGGTAGTGGGAAGGGAAAAGCGGATAAGAGGTAGAATCAGTGGGACGGGCGGATGCTGCGATGTATGGCGGCATGAGGTGGTGACAGCACCCCTCGCATCCACCAGCTGCTGCATGGCGGCGCCCTCACACGCTCGCAGTATATGCACAGGCATGCAACGCAATGCGGCATGAGGGATAGATGCAGAGCAGGGCGCGCGCACTCACACACGCGCAGAGAAGAAGGCCCCCGCGAGCGCCCACGCCAGCAGCAGCAGCGCGAGCAGCGCGCACATGCACCTGGGGTGGCGGGGACGAGGGGGGGGAGAGGAGGGGCGCAGGCGAGGAGGGGAGCACAGGAGAAAGTGAGGGGTGGCATGGTGTGGGGCGAACAGGGGAAGGCAGGCAGGCAGAGAACGGAAAGGGGGAGGAGAAGGCGAGGAGCAGAGGCTTTCCACATGGGGTGGGTGCAGTGGCTTAGGAGAGGCACGAGGTCCTCCACAGGACATGGTGCGGCACGCGCCATGCGGTGAGCTATGCGCGAGGCGCAAGGAGCAGTGGGCGAGGGGCAGAGACATGAATCAAGCGCGCAGCCGTAACGAGCAGCACTCACACGAGGTGCGTGCAGAGGTACAGGCGCCTGCTGCCGCACGACACTGCACAGCGCACACACGCACGCATAGAGGGAAGGGGGGGAAGGGAGGCGGAATGCGTTGAGAGCAGGAGCGGCGGGGGGGGGCACGTGAGGGCATGCGAGCAATGAAGGGGCAGCGCGAGGGCGGGCGGGCCATGCACCTGGCCTCACAACGCCATGGCGGCACATGGGTGGGGCGGGGCGGGGGGAGGACGGCGCGTGGAAGCGAGTGTGAGGCAATCCGTGTGCAATGTGACAGTTACACCGCTCCCATGCACCCGCCCCCGTACCTCACTTCCCCAATCACCCCCCCAACTCACCCAGGGCGCAGGCAGCAGAGAGCAGCAGCAGGAGGCAGGAGGCGGCCATGAGCGCAATGAGGCTGGCAGGGGGCGGCAGGGAGATGGCAGGAGGCGATATGCATGAGAGGGCGTGAAGGGGATGGACAAGGGAGAGGGAGAGAGAGAGGGAGCAGCGTTCATGCCTTGCATTCCGTGCATGGACCGCCTGCCGCACAGGGAGCAGCGATCCACAGCAAAGGGGAGGGAAGGAGGGGTGGGGGAGGAGAAGGAGCGAGGCAGGCAGGCAGAGAGCGAGAGGCGTTGACTCACGCGGTGTTGGTGGTGGAGAGCGCCCTGCGCGCCACGCCATCCACCATGGCCTCCAGCGCGTGTGCCTGGCGCTGCAGGGAGTGCACTGACACCAGCGCACGGCGCGCAAACACCAGGATCGACGCCGCATCCGTGCCTTTGCCGTTGCTGCTGCCGTTGCTGGCGCTGCCACCCGCTAGTCGCCCCACCGCGTTGCCCCAGCCTTGCTCTGACCCCCCTGCTGCACCCGCCCCTGCGTTGTTGCCACTGCTGTAGACAGCACCGTCATTGGCAGCAGCACAAGGAGTATTGCCATTGCTGTATGGCACGCTGCCCATCGTCCTGGTGCGTGCAGGGGTCGTGTTGCCGCCCTGCCCCACGCTGCCAGGAGCACCGCTGGCGCTCTCGCTGGAAGCCCACACATTACCCTGCCGCTGCCCGCCCTGCTGCTCCAGCTTCTGCTGCGCCTGCGCCTGCTCCTGCTGCTGCGGTGCGGGCGGCAGCAGCGCGGGGCTCTGGAGCGTGCGGTTGAAGACAGCGTAGGCCGCTGAGAGCACGGCGGACATGGCGTCTAGCTGGAGGGTGTGGGGGGGAAACGAGCAGCAGGGCGAGGCGGACGGGAATGCAGGTGCAGGGCATGGAGAATTGGGGGGTTGAGGGAGAGCAGGCGAGGTGTGGCATGGGAAGGGTGCTGTTGCAGCATGCTTCCATTCATGCCCGTGCACGCTCACTGCGCCGCACATTTAGATCGTTTACCGGGGCCTCCTGCAGCAGCTCGCATAGTGCATGGCGAGGCGCATGGGGATCGCGCACGCAGAATGGGTGCATGGTGTGGCGCAAGAGCATTGAGGGAGAAGCAGGCGAGCAGCAGCAGTGTGGGTGAGTGTGCTGCACCTTATTAATGGCGGCGGCCGTGGTGGCGGTGACAGTGTCTCGGGTGTTCACGGCTATGGGGCGGAATGATGCAGACGCGTACAGCGACACGCCCACTGCCGCACTGCACTCCGTGCGCGGGCAGGGAAGGCATGGATGGGAGGGGACCGTGGGGGAAAAGGTCAAGACACAGAACTGCTGGGGGGCATGGTGCACACAGCTGCCATGTGGTGGTGTGGCGGGGTTGGAAGGGCCTAAACGCCATAAAGAATCCTGCCCGTGCCCAAAAAAACGTTGGGAGAGCACAGGGCGTGCAGAGCTGAAGGGCACGGGCAAGTAAGCATGGGGTGCAGTAAGCAAAGGTGCACCCAACCATCAGCGCCCCCCCCCCCACTCACAGGGTCAACAGCAGCCCCCCAGCGAGCAGCGCCCACTGCACCGCCTGTCGCCCCACTCGCACCACTCGCCCCCACCCCCTCTCGCCCCTCTCCACTGATGCCGCTCCCTTGCTCCGCTGCTCGCTCCGCTCTGCCTGCCCATGCTCCCCACCCTCTGCCTCCCGCTGAAAGCGCTTCTCCTCCTGTGCACGTGGCTGCCCCTCCTCCCCTGGCGAGGGGACTGACAGGTCAGAGGTCAGGGGGGGAAACACGGTGGGGGCAGCAGGTGGCAGCAAGGGTGCAGAGGAGGCAGCGGAGGAGAGGGAGGAGGAGACGGACGAGCGGGTGGCTGAAGAAGCGGAGGACGTGCGGGGGGAGGAGGAGGAGGAGGAGAAGGAGGAGAGGGAGGAGGAGGCAGATCTGCTGATGGCAATGGGGGCGCCCATGTGCGCCTCACTCCCTCGTGCTCCTGCTGCCGGGGGCGACGCTGCTGCCGGGCTTGACCAAGGCGCTGGGTGGACGCTGTCACACGGGGAAGTTGCTGCTGTGGACGCGTGGCCGTGCATACCTGGCTCCACTCTCCCAGCCTTAAAGCCCCCCTCGCGTGCCCCACCAGCGGCATCCGGTGCTACCACACCCCCCTCATCGCCCCCTGCCCGCCCTCCGTCCACTTGCCCCCTCGCCACTCCTCTCTCCGCCGTGCTCTCTGCCTGCACAACCCCCTCCCTGCCATGCACTGCTGCTGCTGGGCGCGCCCTGGCGCCCTTGCTGCGCGCTGCTGCACCGCAGCAGCCCAGGGGCTGGCGGGTGGAGGAGAGCGCGAGGACGAGCAGCACAACCCCCAGCACGCACACGATAACGCCAACTGCTGCCGCCCACCACCCAGTGAACGCTGCGGACTGACGCACAAGCAAGGGAAGGGGGAAAGGCAAATGGTAAGGGCAAGAAAAAGGGACGGGTGCAGACGTTTGCGTGAGCAGTCTTGGTGGTGATGGTTCAATGCGAGTGCGGGCTAAGAGTGTGCGGGGGGCTCTCACCGCCCAATAGTGCGTGTCAGTGACGTTGTAGGGGCCGCGGTACCGCCTGAAGCCATCCGAGGGGTCCACGCGCGATATGCGCCAGTGCTGCCCCGCACCCACGTCCTCATCGTCGTCTTCATCGCCCTCACCGCTCTGCATCACTCTCAGGAGACTCAGAATGTCACCGCCGCCACCCCCACCACCCGCGCTGCTGCTGTCTGTTCCCCCCTGCGTGTTGCCCGTGACCATGGGGCGCGGCAGCTCGCTCGCCCTCTTGCCACCAATGGCAGCGGCCTCTGCCGCACCACCCGCTCCACCCCCCCTTGCACTCGCGCTGCTGCTGCTGGGCGTGGGGGCTGCAGTGGATGCGGCAGCAGCGTGGGGTGGCACACGTGTGTGGGTGCGAGGCGTGCTGGGCTGTGCAGGCAGCGCGTACAGACTCCTGCGCTCGCGAGCTGCTGGCCCTGCTGCCGCCCCGCTCACCCCAGCTTGCGCGTGCCGCCACGTCTGCCCTGCCCTTGCCAACTGCGCGTCAGCTCGCCCAAGCCTGCCAGTCCGCGCGCCAAGAGGAGCTGCCACCGCGGCTTGCACCGACAGCAGCGCCACAAGCGCTGGTAGCAACAGCGGTACCAGGAGGTTGGGCGGGGCAGTGCAGGCGGTGCGTGCAGGGTGTGCAGCGTGCCGCAGCGCACGGCGCTCGCGCCAATGCAAACTCCGCTTGCGCGCTGTGCAGCTGTCCGCGGTGCCACAGCGCGGCGCCCATGTGCTGTGGGCGGCCATTCCGGGTTGGCGAGCAGCGAGCGCTGTGCGTGAATGCCTCACCCTGCTCTCTCCGCGCCCGCACCTCCAAGTGCGTGCAGCATGCGGCGCCGTGTGTCACCGCCACCCACCCGCTACCACGCGCACGCCAACTGCACCTGCGCCGCGCACGGCCCTGGGCGCCTTCCGCCGCGACCGCCTGCTCGTTGTGGTGGCGGGGGTGCTCCCCTCACGCCCCCTCAGTGCCTCGCCGCGCTGCCAGCACTCGATCCCCTCAGCGGGGCGCCTGCTTATCAGATCCGCGCTCTCGTGGATCTTGCCCGGGAAGCTCGCGGGTAACCACCAGTTTCTGGGGCTCGCGGCGCGTGTGCCCAGAGATCTGAGACGATCCGACAGTGGTAGATGAAATCAACACGCGAGCTGCCGCCCGTTGTCACGCCGCAGCAGAAAGTCCTACGAGGGGCGAGATGGAGATTCGGTGTCAGTTGGCAGAAACGGCGCACCAACTTCGCACCGCCTTCCAATACCCAAGTCACCCAGCCCGTTCTTCAGACTCCCTTAAATCTATGCTGCGGGTTCACCTCCTACGACTCGTGCTCCAGTCGGCCGCCGGCTTCTGGCGCTCGCCGCGCTCATGGCGCTCCGTTGCGAGCGGCGTGATGGATGCAGCGCTGCTCACTCGCGCGACATCATGCGCGGAAATTTGCCTGGCTCACGATCGTGCGCGCAACGTCATCGACACACCCAGAACGCGGCGCCGCGACACACAAAAGCGATGAGTGCACAGCGGTAACGATGAGCGCGCGCTCGCTTCCCATGCAATGAACGGCGTGGTGTGCGGGACAGGTGGACATGGATGGAGAATGAGAATGAGCGGAACGGGACACACGACGATTGACGCTTGGGATGGGATCAGCCAACAGCCAGGCACCGTGCGACGAAAAGTGCCGCTGTCGACCTTTCCTCGAGAGTGCACTGCGGGGTGGCGCATGGTCGCCGTGACGTAAGAAAAGGTGGCTCGCGACGGCAATCATGTGCGAGGGAGGTGCGCATGGGGAATTCGACTAGAAGGGACGGACGCGACGAGGACGGTGGTGACGGTGGGTTTGCCACGGATGGAACCAAGGTGCAACACGGGTTTGGGGGAGGAAAGGAACGAACGGATGGAACTGACTACAAGTCCAATGGACGGTTGGATTAGACAGACAGGCCCAAAAACCTCCTTTCCTTGGGGTGACCCTCCAAACCAAGCATTTGCTGCGCGACTCGGTGACGCAAGCAATTCGACAAACATCGATGTGTCATTTGGTTTGGTTATGTCTGCCACCAGCCGCTGTATGTTCCAGCCGTCCGTCCTTGGCGGCGAGCCCGATGTGTGGTGTGGCAATGACACGCGGACTGCACATGGGCTGCCTGGTTTCAAGTCGAGGCGCGAACAATTCCTGAACAGCCTCTCCTCCGGAAACTTCGATGCAACACAGCTGCACTTTCCCAAGTGCAGTCGGTGCTGGTAGTGGAAACCCTGATTCTCCTCCTCGTGATAAACTTATTAACTGACCTTGTGCAAAGTGGTACAATGCTCTATAACCACCCGAACATGCCACTTCACTCCCCCGTCCCCAACCGCAGGGTTATCTCGCCTCGAGTAAAAACCGTGTTCAATCTATTATTGCCCCCTGTTTCTTCCTGGACCGTGGGCTCCTCGAGAAAGCAGGAAACGAAAATGAGAGAAAAAAAAAACTACTACTACTTGGCGCGATTGAGGGAAAATTCTGGAGCTCGTGTCCGACACTAGTGTCATACGGGAATACCCGAGGTAGTAAACAAGGCTCAACGCCCAAGCGTGAGAGGGGTTGCATAGACTGTAGATTTCGAATGTGTGGAATCGTAACAATAATACAGTTTATGGTATGGATGGGGAAAAATGTACAGATGTGATATATATCGTATTGCAATAACCACGTTGAGCACAATACAGCTTTTCACCTTTTTTAGGTCACATACATTGAAATTTATTTAAATGTACACGAGGTAATTATATTATTTATATTGATATAATAATATTGATATAATGGTTTTTGTTAAGTTATATATTTTAAATATATCATTGTAGACTTGGTATGTGTATTACTGAATCCTACTGTAGTGTAGAGGGGACAACCCCCCTTCTTGTATCCCTCTCTCTTCTAGTCATACACTCCTCTCTCGACATTACGCTCCTAGCCTTAAACCCCTCTCGCCATTCATGGCTTCCCCCCGTTACCCAGCATTGCTTAACATGGTATCAGAGCCGGCGGACCGCCCTGCTGGGATCTTTACAGAGACTAAGTCCCAGTAGAGAATGCTTGAGTAGTGCAGCGGGAGTTGAGTAGTTGAACCCTTTATCAGAATTAGAATTCAATGATGGTAAAGTGAGAGTACACACAAATATACCTAAGTGTTGTACCCTCTAAGAGGTAACCCTATACAGTCTATACAAACATGACAAATACACATGTTTGACACACCCCCTAGACTGCATAGGGGAATACCCCAAACAAGCAGCTCAGGGCGGCACTACTAGTCCAACCTCTGACACAAGGGTCTGAGAGACCAGTCAGAAGGAGTACAGACAAGGCAAGAACAAGACCAGCGCGACACTACTAGTCTAGCCACTGGGAGAGGACACAAGTCCAGTCTGATTATACATATAAAGGACAGTACAAGTCAAGGTCCTAGCAAGTGAGAGGCGACAGGAACTAGACCAAGCTGTACACAGTGCCGCTGATGATCTTTAGGCGCAAGCGCCTTCGTAAAGATATCAGCTGTGTTGGCACCTGAGGCCAAGTGTACTACGCGAGCCTGACGTCGCTGCTGTAGCTCACGCAGGAGAAAGTACCGCAGCTGAATGTGCTTCGCTCTGCCCTCGAGTCGAGGCTCCTGACACAGGAGGATCATGGCCCTGTTGTCAGCGAACAGGACCGGGGCAGAGCTAGGCCGCTCACCTAAGTCAGTGAGCAAGAAGGTCAGCCAGCGGAGCTCCTGTGCCGCCATGGCACCAGCGTAGATCTCAGCCTCACAGCTGGACTGCGCAATAGACGAGGAGCGGGTAGCTCTCCACGAGACGGCACCTGAGCCAAGGCTGAAGCAGTAGCCCTGGGTAGACCTGAGTGTCTCAGCGTCGTCTGCCCACGAAGCGTCTGTGTGTCTAGTAAGGACCACTGGCCTGCGTCCTCCAAGCACTAACCCCATGCCCGATGTACTAGCAAGATAACGCAGAACCCTCTTAGCGGCAGACCAGTGCTGCGGTCGGTGTCTGCCTGTGGCCACAAAGCGCGCCAGGATGCTGAGAGGGTATGCGAGATCTGGGCGAGTGCAAGTCATCAGGTACATGAGGCAACCCACCAGCTCTGCGTAGGGGCCGCTGGGCTCTACCAACTCCTCAGGTACTGGAGCGGAGAGTCTGTGGTCTACAGGCAGAGGGGTGGGCTGTGCAGAGGAGAACTGAAGGCTGAACCTCTGAAGGACCTGGCGCACCAAGTGTGACTGAGTCAAAGTGATGGTGCGCGCAGCTCTGTCCCTGGAGATCTGCAAGCCAAGGTAACGGCGCAGTTCTCCAAGGTCAGTGCAGGTGTGTCTCTTCAGCAGCTCTGCCTTCACGGAGGCCAGTGCGTCCCTACCTGCTGTGGCAAAGACCAGGTTGTCGACGTAAACAAGGATGTAGAACGGAGTCTGGCCAGCACGAACGAAGAGTGAAGGGTTTGCGGAAGACGGAAAGAACTGCAGGTCAGCAAGGGTAGCACGGAGAGTGTCGTGCCACTCACGGGGAGCCTGGCGCAGGCCGTAGACGAGGCGCCGCAGGAGCCACTGGGTCCCAGGAGGGAAGGTGCCAGTAAAGCCCGGAGGGCGACGCAGGTAGACCTGCTCGTGTAGGCTGCCCTGAAGGAAGGCAGTGGAGAAGTCGAGGGAGTGAAGCTCGTAGTCACGCTGAGCAGCTAGGTGTAACAGAACCCGAAGAGTAGTCATCTTCGGGGTCGGAGCGAAAGTCTGGAAGAAGTCCACCCCCTCGCGCTGACTGAAGCCTCTAGCCACATAGCGCGCCTTGAACACAGGCGGCTCTCCAGGAGGGCGCTTCACCTTGAAGAGCCAGCGGCCATCGACTACGTTCACCCCAGGTAGGGGAACTGCGTCGACGAAGGTGCCGGTGGATCTCCAAGATGCCATCTCCTGCTCCATGGCAGCTATCCACTGCGAGGCCCAGGGTCCCGAAGTCGCCTCAGCGTAAGTGCGAGGGGTCGGGATGTCGAAAGCGTCTGGGTCACCCTCAGGGACTAGCAGCATGGAACAGAGATGGGGAGCAGCCTCGGAGAGGAAAGCAAGCTCGAACTGGCGGTCCTCCAGGACGTCACTGCCAAGGGCAGGAGCACCCCCGACAGACGGAGGACAGGCAGGGTCAGAGACCAGAGCGGTGGCGTAGTCAAGGCGGCGGGTAGAGGCGAAGTCAGAGACAGCAGCGACAAGAGCGTCAAGGCACGAGACCGGAACAGACGGGTCGGTAACGAGAGAGGCAAGGACCCGAGGAACGAGAGGACGAGCGGCACGAAGGTAGTCGGACAGCGGGGCGGGCGCAATAACAAGGGAGGACGGAGGAGGCGACGGGAGAAGGGGAGGACGAGACGCGTGGGAACGAAGCAACATAGGGTGGGAGCGCAAGACAGGCGAGGCAGGACGAGCACGGGAGGGGCGGTGAGACCAGACGTGCGACGGAGGAGTCGGGTCAGGAAACAGGGGAGGGGACATAGGAGGGGAACGAGGGGGGAGACGAGCCGGGGACGAGTCCGGCGGAGGGAAAACAGGGCCGTAGACAGGAAGAGGAGGAGGCGGTCGGGGAGGAACCGACGCAGGGTCGGGGGACGGAAGGCCGAGCAGGCGAAGGGCGGACACCGGCGGGGACTGCTACTGCGGCGGCACAACGGCAACACCTGGACCGCAAGCTGCTCCTCGGCTACCACCGGCACTCTCCACACCAGTACCCCCAGAGGGACCACCCCCAGGGCGACCGGGACGAGCACCCCCAGAGTCAGCGAACGGGGGCTGCGACGGCGGCGGCGGCGGCGGCGGCGACGACGACGGCTGCAGCAACGGTAGTGGCGGTGGAGGAGGGGACTGGGGAGGGGACACCTGGGGAGGGGCGGCCGGCGAGGACTGCACAGGAGGGCCACCAGAGTCAGAAGACTCCTCAACCGGGTCCACGGACGGAAGGGGGGTGACATGGGACACACCAGAGGGGGCGGGACGGGGAGGAGGAGGAGGAGGGGCAGGGACTACCGGGGAAGGGGTGAACAGGTACAGGGGGGGGGTAACCGGGGGACCACGGTGGGGAAAGCGGCGGTAGTAGGAGACGGACTCGTCAAAGGTGACGTCACGAGAGTGAAAGAAGCGGTGAGACGGCGGGTGATAAAAGTGCCAGTCGGACGCGTCAAGGGGAAAACCGAGGAAGACGCAGGGAAGGGTGCGGGCAGTGAGCTTGTCCGTGCCGGAGGCACGGACGTGAGCAAGGCAGCCCCAGACGTGGAACGCAGACGCGTCACCAAGAGACCCAGTCCAAAGACGGGTCGGCGAAACCTGCGGCTGCTGAGGGTGCGGCCACAGGTTAAGCTGGTGAGAAGCGTAGCGCACAACGAACGGCCACAGAAAATGGGGTGCACCGGCATGGATCATGGAGGTGCGAGCCACCTCCATGACCAAACCGATGCGTCGCTCAGCGACCCCATTCTGCTGTGGGGAGTCCGGTAGGGTGAACGTCTGGGTGATGCCCTCCGCACGACAAAAGCGACCAAGGACACCTGAGGCAAACTCGCCACCACGGTCTGAGTGAAGACGCAAGACAGGGAGACCGCGGTGGACACGCGCAGAGACAAGCCAGGGGATGAGAGCGCCAGGCACGTCGGCCTTGCGCTCCAGGGGAAAGACTGTGGTGTAACGAGTGAAGTCGTCGATAAGCACAAGGAAGTAGCGCTCTCGACGCGGCCCAGGGACGGGGGCGGGGCCCCAGACGTCCAGGTGCAGGGTCTGCAGCGGCGCGGCGGTAGGGGGAAACGAGGAGTGAGGGGCACGGCGAAGCCGACCCTCGACACAAGGCGTGCAAGGTGGGGCTGGAGAGGAGGGAAACGCGGGGAGCGAACCTGGGAGACCAAGGACGAGACCGTGCTGGGACATGTGACGCAGACGCGGGAGCGCAAGGTGACCTAGGCGGTGGTGCCACAGGAGGGTCGGGTGAGTGAGGGAGCGACAGGAGCAGGCAGCAGCAACCTGGGTAGACGCAGCCACCTGAGGGGGCGCTCCAGCCGGGGGGGTCACGGTGTCCAGAGTGAACAGGCCGGACACCGGGTCCCGGGGGAACGTGGACAGGGGGGCACCAGTGGCGGCCTCGGTACAGACAGCATACCGCTCGTGGCCAGGGAACGTAGTGGTGACGCCAAGGTCCTGGAGGCAGCCGACACCAACTAGGTTCCTGGAGAACGAGGGGATATGCAGACCTGTAAGAGAGCCCGAAGGAACCGCCGGACAGGGAAGGGTG